CTGGGTAGTACAGATACGATTTTTTTGACCTGAAGTGACCAGCCGCAGATTAGCATGTGAATAACTTAACTGCATTTTGAACCCTGGCTCCTCGGACAGTCCCAGCACTCCCCCATCAAACTGCTTCATGAGGATATCTTCTCGAAGTGTAGCTTTGGCGCTCAACCTTCCAGATCCCATTAAAGGGTCTCTGCTGTATCCCATTGCTCGCCTGGTCCAACACTGCACACTTTACTCCCACGGATTCCCTTCATAGCCATTTTGAATCCTCTTTTCCTTATCAGGCCGATACAGGCCTGCACCACGCTCTCCTCCTTACGACAAGGGGGGGGGGGGCGGATCCAAGAGCTCGTTGTTTCGCTTCACAAAGCCCTGCCATGGGGCACAGATTAACGCCAAAAAATAGAAGGCTGCAGCAAAAGGAGAACATTTTTTCAGAATGCCTCCACCTGATTAACGAAGTAATGGCATGAGCCACTGTTTGACGTTCATCACGGGCTGTGCATGCTTTGCCACTTCTCCTCTACGAGCTCAGACTGCTGTTGGGAACTGTTCGAAATACTCTTTTCTTTGAAGGCTCTCATTCCCTCAAAGGTATAAAAGAATATAAGAGAACAATGGCACAGCCGCATCTGAAGAGGGAAAATATTTGTATCTGGGAAAAAGTAAACAAACAGCCTTTCCTTAAATAACCTGTCAGTGACTTGAATTTAGAATTACTTAGGTAGTTGCTCTTAGTTGTGCTGTACTTAGGTGCAGCATCTACTTTGTCATTGTTTTCCAGGATCAGCCTAGAAAAGTCTTCCATTTATCTCATCTTCCAGTTCACATTATACCTGATATTTGTGCAAATTCACTTTCCCGTTAAAGACAGGATTCACTACCCATCAGTTTCATGCTTAGAAATATATTGCTGTCTACTTGTAGGCACCTGGGAACTACTGCATCTTCGGAATGACGCAAAGTGCACAGTTGGAGCTCTCCTGGCAAAAATAGTGATTAAATCACGCTGCTTTCCCTTTAGAACAGAGTTCTCACCAATTGTAGATAGAAGGCAGCATTGTACAAAGCTCTTAATGTGTCTTGTTTGTCAAAACAGTAAGATAAAATTAAATTTCAAACAAAATCTGGAAATACATAGCTGATGTCTTTTTATTTTAAAACAAGAGAACAACCCTTTATTTTACTGCACTTTCTAGGCTTGAAAAGATTATGCCTTTTTCATCTTTCTGAGAAATCTCTTCCATTGTATTTGTCTTACCCTCCTGCAGAATTAATACAGATTTTTTGTCAAATGTAGGTATGACAGAAAGTTTGTTGACTCAATC